GGTTTGAATTAGTTCTATGGTAGCTATTTTGAATTTACTATTATCTTGTTTTGAAATTTTGCATTCACTGTTTTATTTTTATTAGTAGTATTCTGTTCTGTTTGATTTTCCTATGTCTGATGGTATAGGCAGCTATTTTGAAGGCAACAACAGCCATTATTATGTTAGCCATTGTTGATTTCCTTTTATCTTATTTTGAAATCCAGTATTACTTAACACTATTTTGTTTCAATTGGATTTATTGTGCTTGGTTTTATTTTCTATAAATAAAAATTTTTTTAAAAAAGACTTGCAGGCTGAGAGGTGTAGAATGCTAATAACAACCTCTTTAAAGGTAAGATGTGTGCCAGTTATTCCTAAATCTCTTTTTTTTTTTATTTTATTACTCCTTAGTGCTTATTACTTTTTTTTTTGGGGGGGGGGAAGAATACAGTCAAATATGGCAAAACAAAGCTGTCAGTCAATACCAAGGATAGACACAGCACATGGTGTAGAACAGAGTACAAGTTTATCAACAATGGTTATCAACGTTGTCCCTTGTTTCCTTAAAAAGAATTGTCTCTCTCATTAGATATTATAAAGTTGGACAAAACAGTAGAGAACAAGACCAATAAAACTTAGGCATTGTAAACATTACAGGACTTCCAAAGAAGACAATAGTCAAACCAGAATGGGCATCTTAGTGAATCTTATTGTCTTCAAAGTAGTTGCCTATGTCTTCAAACTTGATACTATCATATAGAATGGAACAGAGTCTAATCAGTCAAAACAAGATCGTGGGAGTACTACAGGACTTCAAAACAAGTTAATAGGAAATCGAAAAGAGTTACTATTTATATATCCTAATTTTTTGAATTTTTTCTTTAATTAAGACAAACATAAGAAATGACTAAATAATTTTTTTAAAACAATAAGGGGGAGATTGAGATAAAACAGGACATAACAATATAACAAGAGAGGTCACAGCATGACTGTTTCAACAACCTAGTACTTCACCACCATATAACCCAACTTAATAGTAGTTACCATAGTGTCTTTTTCCTTGAAATATTTGGATAAAACTTCATATACTCTAGTTTCAAATATTTTCATATCAAGAAGCCCAGAATAAAGCCTTTCTAATTAATGAGTGAAAACTTTATAAGGCTTCAAGGCCACCTAATGGGGAATCATGACTACCACATATTTTTATATATTTGAATCATTACTTACATTAGGGAAACTATTCGGTATTCACACATGCGAGATTGATTTATTTCACTTATGAGTATGGTCTCAAGCTGTGCCCATTTATTGATAAATATCTCAATGTGATCCTTCTTTATAGCTGAATAATACTCCATTGTATAGAAATACCACAACTTTTTTATCCATTCCTTAGTTGATGGACACTTGGGTTGTTTCCAAGATCTGGCGATTACAAATTGTGCTGCTATAAACATAGGTGCACATATATCACTGTGGTATGATGCTTTCAGTTCTTCTGGGAATATTATTCCTAAATCTCTTTCTCCAACCCAGACTCAATGCTGTGGCTCCAGACTCACATACTCAGTTGTACTAGATCCTACTTGGTAATTTAACAGGCATATCATTGGAATACAAAGGGAAAGCAATTAAGATTCTTGTCAGTATATGATCAAGTGATTATTTCTAACTCAACTCTCTAGACTTTGATTCTACAAGTCACAAAATCTATGGTGTAACTCAGTTTTCAGTTTCACATTGACAAAGTATCCAAATTAGTCAACTACATTCAAATCTCAGGCATTGGACCAGATCACTTCAGCATTAATGTTTTGCAATAATGATTTTACTATATGTATGGCTATCTATTACTAATTATTGTCACTTCAGGTACTTTCTGAAGGTAGGCAGACAAGAAGGAAATAATTAACATGAAATAGTAAATAACCATTAAAAAATCCTGGGCTCTGATGTGTAAAACACCCTGGGTTGCACACTCCTCAGTACTAGCAACTCTCAGCTATTTTATTTTGTGCCACTCACCACCAATAATGTCATAAGTAAGGGGACTAGACATTCCATATAGATCAGAAAAGTCCTTTTCTTCTTTTCCTCCTTCTTTTTGGGTACAGTACAAGGAATCTCCTCTGTTTAACAAGCAGGCTGAGCTAAATCTCCAGATAGCCTTCCATTTTTAAAAAGTGACTAGAATAGATAAAAAAATGTAATGTACCTACCTACATAATCACCAATACTATTGTGTAAAAGCTGGCATGTGTGCATGTATTTCATTCACTCTATCTACCAGACACCAACTAAGTGCCAGTGGCTCCAGTGCAGTGTAGAAGTGAGAGATCTTTAAAGAGTCATAAAATCAAATTCAAAAGTCATCAATTCAAAAGTGAGAGATCTTTAAAGAGTCATAAAATCTTAAGTTATACACCAGATCTAAGAAAACATGAGAATACCCCAAAAATCAGTTCTTTAGATGGCCACATAGTAAACAGTTGCCAGATGTTACACAGGTATTATAAAGCATACAAAACCAACAAACATTTCTTGACTACATGACAAAAATGCTCTACTACCCACCATCATAACTATGAGCTGTGAAAAAGTATAAAAAAGAAAGATGCTTATTCTTATAGGCAAGTTGCATAATGTCCAATAGGAATAAAAGCATCATTACAACTATCTTTTCTTTTCTGAAATGAGGCACTATTTCTGCTTTACTAATTCAAATATTTTAGGCTGATCTTTCCCTGATAAATAGGAAGAATCAAGAAATCTATAGTCTCCATACCCTAGAAAGCTGACCCAGGAGATTACAAATTCAAATCCAGCCTGGACAACTTAGCAATTTAGAACGACTCTATCTCAAAATAAAAATATATATATAGGACTAGAGATGTAGCTAAGTGTGAAGGCCCTGGGTTTAAGAGTAGTATCAGGAAAAAAAAATGTGACTTGTTTAGCCATGATTTCTTCCTAACTGAAAACGCTATACAAGTTATAGTAAAAAATTACTAGGAAGTCAATCAAACAGATATCAAAGAAATTCATATTCTTACTTTAAAGCTGTTAACAAAGCAAAGGCCTCTGCTAAATATAATGTCAAGAATTTGCAAAGCTTATTTTTCTACCTAAAAGGAACTTAAGAAGTAAGGTGATCTGATGATCCCAATACATTGTCTTGATGTTAACCTTGATAAAGAAGGCTGAAGCAATTTAAGTGACAATAAATTCAATGTTTAGAACTGGTGATTGGTAAAGCCCTAAATAAAGATGATCTTTAAGCTCCCTTCAGTTTATAAACCATGATACTGAGGTCCACACAAACCACATACTGAGTAGAAAAAGAACGGTTCTGAAGATAACCACACTTCTAAACTTCGCAGCTCTCTTCCTCAATGTGTGTTCCTAAGAATACTACTTACTGCTCCTCAGTTTCTTCATTTATAAAAATAAAGGTAACACTGACCTCTTAAGGATGTTATGAAGATTAAATGAATTTCTATTTATGAAAACATCTGGCACAGAAAAGATACACAAAATGTTAATTCTTTCTTTATGGATGATTAACTTGAGAGTTACATAGCTGGTGAAGGGTAGAGAAAGGACTACAATCAATCACGAATTATTAGTCACTATTCAAAAGGAAGTCAATTATTTCTTAAACTGCCTCTATCCTTGAATCATACCATTAAATACAGCTTTTAACATTTGAGTTGGGGGTTGGGTGGTCACCAACATAAATGAGGACCATCACAAAACTACAAAGAAAGACATTTGTGACTGCAGGTAAAGAGACACATTTATAAGAAAGGCTGCAAAATTGACAAGTTCTAATACCACACTATGTTTCAAAAATGACACCTGTATAGTGGGTACCCAGTTTGCCCAGAAGGAAACAATGCAATTCAAACTTTAATGTGTATTTCATAACTCATTGTTCAAGACTGTTAGTAGTAATAAGTAGTAAGTTTTATCATGTTGTCAACACAAACATGAATCTGACTTTGGTCTTAACCCTCAAAAATCATAGAAGCTGACTGAAAAGGGAGACAGGCCTTGAAGAATGATTTGAGAAAAGAATGATAATTGCATATTAAGCCTTTCAGGACTTTAAAAGTTCAGGGTCATTCTGGGGTGGGAAATTACTTTGTTAATAGATAAAGGCCTCCAGAATAGGTACACACAGTACTGCATAGTAAAAATTATTCAAACTGAGTTAAATAAAATCTAGGCTTACACTTAACATCAAGTGAACTTCCCAACATGTTGAGGTCACGCTTATCTTTGAAGTAGGTGAATTCAAAGACATGATTATTCTGGTTCAAATACTGTCTTGCAAATCACATGACAGCAACAAAAACAAGCGCTTATATGTACTCAGCATACAGTACGTGTGCAAAAGTGTGGAGTTTTTTTGTTTTGTTTTAGACAAGGGTCTTCCTAATATACCCCAGGCTGGACTCCAGATGGTGATGATCCTGTCTCAGCCTCCCAAGTGCCAGGATTAAAAACGACTGTACCATTATGCCCGATTAATGCGCCTAACTTGTCTCATGAGCATTTAATTTTCATAACAATTTATTGTTTACTCAATTTATTAAAAATATATAAATATCCTCATTTGACAGTTGAGGAAAAGCACAAACTATTAGAATACCAGAGAGTCGTGATTTGAACTGCAGCAGGCTGACGCTACTTCAAGGCTACCCTCAACTATAATGCAAGACTGCTTCTCTTCACGAAAACTGGCTTGTCCGATCTCAAAGGTAAAAAAAGGAAAAAGAGGAAATAAAGAAAGAAAGAAAGAAAGAGAAAGAAAGAAAGAAAGCTGAAAAAGATCTTTCCTAACTAAATTCGTCGGTTTTTCATCTTTCAGTCGCGCATAGCCTCCTCCGCGATGATCGCGCTCCCACAGTCGCGCGCACCGACTTCTGGCCGCCCGCGGCGACTGACAGAGCGGGCCAGGGCTGGGGCGCACCGATGGGCTGGGGAGAGGAGGAACGCAGGCAGAGGGGTACCTGGGCTGCTGGCTGCTCCGGCCTGCTGATTCTTCCACCACTCGTCTCCAAGATCATCTGCCATCTCCACGCGAGACTAAAGTGCGCGGACCTGAGCAAAGCGGTGAGTAGCAAGAAAAAGACTTCCTCAGAGCCAGCAACAGGCGGGCGTCGCACACGCGGAGCCCCAGCCCGGCCGCCTCGCTCCGCCCCGCGGGGGATGACGTCAACCCCGTGCCGCCCCTCCAGCCGTAGGCTCCGAAGCCACGCAGTTTCCACACTGGCGCCGGAGGGCAGAATCAATCTGGAAATACAAAGCAAATTCTCTAAAAGCGTACAGACGAGAAGACACGAGAAACAGACAAAACAGTATTATCTTTTTAGATGAGAGCTATCAAAATATTTAAGTTTTAGTTTGCGAAGCGATTGTCGAAAGTGTGAAAATGCTGACAAAATTTTTCTCTGCTCAGTTTTCAAATACGTTGAGCCGCGGGACAGGATTCCAGCACGTGGATGTATTTTGACCTGTCTGTGTGTTTTGTATGTTTGTACAGTTTTGTGTTTGTGTAGGGCATGTTTATGTGCTTTTACAGTTTTCCCAAAGAAAACGTGCGCCAGAGTTCATGACCGTGAGCCTAGGGCTTTGCTGTACGCGTGACTACCGCTGTTTTTGTACAACCTGAGTGAAGAAAAATGTGTTTCATCAGCAAAGGCTTGTCCCCGGAAAGACGCACCCGGCTCACACTGAGAGTTGCCTCCCCGAGCCCCTTTGCTTGTGGTCTACCCCCTCCCTCTTATAAAACGAGAGCAGGGGTGACCATTGTTACCTTACTGGAGGTAAGAGATCTAAAGTATTTCTCGTCTCAGAAGTGACACAGAGAAAGAAAACCCACTAGGTGCCCAGTGCTTGGACCAGCTGTAAAATAATTGTGGGCAGGTTTTCAGGACGGTCTCCTTACACTAAGGTATGAATCATTCAAAATGCATCAAATACACTCAGTTGGGGCCGGGAGTTAAGCTCAGCGGCTCAAATGCTTGCCTGGTAAGCCCGAGGTGGTAAATTAAATCCCCGGTGCAAATAAATAAATAAATGCGCTCTGCATGCCTAGCACAGTGTATGGACCAGAGGCTTAAATATAGCTAGAATATCATTTCATCTTAAGGTGTCTTGTGAGTAGAGCAGATAAAACTTCTAAAAATAAAGAAATGTACTTCCAGAATGATGCAACCTTGTAAATAACAAGACATCCATAATTTGTCAGGGATAGAAATAGCTATATGTAGAAAGTTACCCAAAGCCCACTCATCTAATAAATATATTATAAATGCATTGCTGATTAAATTATCCGCACACTCTAAAAGGGAGGGTATTAAATATGAATGTGGTGAATGTAAAATAATCTGTGGTACTTGAAAGTAATGTGTCTTTCAGAAAGAAACGCAGACAAGAAGTTTTGATGGCTGATGGATTATTGAAAAGCAAAGCTAGGTAAGAAATATCAATGTGGAAGAGGAAGTGCTATGGCCAGTATATATGAAAAGATGCTCAGTCTTGTTAATTTGGAGAATAATGAAAAATGAAAGACCAATGTGATACTTTTTTTGTATAGTAAATGACAAAATTAAGAAGTCTGGCAATTCCAAATTATGGGGGATATGTGTATTACAAAGAATTCTTGCACACTGACACAAATATAAGTTGATATAACCACTTGGAAAAGCTGTTTGGAATAGTCTTAAAAGGTGAACATTCACACCTCAGGATCCAGCAACTCCACACCTAAAAGTAGCAAATTTGTGTTTGTGTACCAAGAAGCTATAAAAGAATATTGACAGCATCACTGTTAATTATAGCAAAACATAGAAACAACCGAAATGCTTCCATGAGAAAGTGGGTAACTTCAGTTTACTCACACATTATGAGGAGCAAATGAACTCATATAACATAGATGTACTGTACCTTGGAAACATGATGCTAACCTTTTTTCTTTTTTCTTGTCTTTTTGACTCTGTTTCACTATGCAGTTCAGGCTGGCCTTGAATTCAGTTTGTAGCCCAGGCTGACCTCAAACTCAAAGTGATCCTCCTGCCTGATGCTAACTTTTAAAAAGCCAAGCCAGAGAAGGCATTTTTGTAAAGGTGAGGTATAGGAACAATTTAAAATACGTTTTTTCAAAAATTTGAGACAATAATAAGTAGTACAAAGTTCAAGATATGAGTTAGTGGGGAAGCAGTGTTCAGGGAGACAAAATTAGGGAGGAAAATATAAATTGCTGACAAATACACACTTAAGGATAAAGCAGAAAGTTCACAGGTACACAGATACACATGCTTTACAAGTACGTTGCATATATTTTTGTGGTATTTCCTTATGCAATAAAAGAAAATTTTAGTAGTTAAATTAGACGCTGTTTAACAATAAATAAGTGAATTTTCACTACGAATTTCTGTGCAAATCTTGCGTCTCACAGTATACTCAAAACTACCTACGCCAGGTATATAGCTTGGGCTGGGGATATAGCTCAGCAGCACAGTGCCTGCCTGCCAACCACAAGGTTGTAAGTTTGATTTCCAGTATCTAAAAAAAAAAAAAACCTGCCAGACAGGCCTACTATGTTGCCTATGTGCGTTCACTGTCTCATTGTTCTGATCTTATCACAGAATCATTTTTTTTTTTTTATGTCTGGGTTCTTACTTCTTTTACTGCCTAACTGCCTTCATTTCACTAGCAAAAAGTTGCAGCACCATTCAGCTGGTTGCATGCTCATTTGATGTGCCAGTAAGTCTGATCAGATCTAACTTCAGAATATATCCCAAATGTAATTCAAACATTCTCACTACCTCCACCACTAGAATCTTGGTCTGGGTTGATTGTTGATGTATTTCCTCTTCTGAGCCTCTCTGACATACAGCCTTTTGATTATTCTACTGTTTGTTCTACTTCAGTCTTGCTTCCATATAGCTTAGAATCATTATAACTTTTCTGTTTAAAATATTTTAATCATTTCTCATTATATTACCAGTCCCCATCATCTTTTTGGCAACCTTGAGTATATCTTTCTCATTCAACGCTCTAGCCACAGGACGAAGCACAGAGTAGATGAACTATGTTAACAGCCTGACTAAACTCAAATGCTCTTTAATTCATGCTGCCCACATAGCAACTTTCTACTTAAATTTATTTCCCAAGTCAGCTTTCCTTCTGGTAATAGATGTTAGAGGTGAGCAATTAAGAACAATTAAGCAATTACTAATTGCAATTAAGCAAAACAAATAAAAAATATGCCACAGAGACAACGTGTGGCCTTGTAAACCTATAATCTAGTCCTTTTACAGAAAAAGTTAATGGATTATATTAAGAAGCCAACCTAAACTGTAACTTCATTTAACTGCACTTTATCAGTGAGTTGACATCTTAATTTTTAAATCATTCTTTTATAAAATTCCACATCCCAGTATCTGGTAACCTCACTTAGCAAGCAAAGCTCAGACTGACTAACGAGTTTTCATCTACTCCCTCTTCCTGTGGAATACCTGAATAAGTATTAATAGTTTAGAGGAGGAAGCATTTACCTCTCAATAGTGTGAACTAAAAGTCCTTCAGATAAGGTATGGCCCTTATACTTGACCTCATCAATGAATGTAAGTTGGAAAAATGGATAGCATGAATAGCACTTTCCTGGCATGTTGCACTGGACAAGTTATTTAACCTCACTGAACTTCACTTTGTCATTCTGTAAAATAAAAGGAAAAAATTAAATGACTTGTGAGGTTTCTTGTAATTCCATGTTTTAATGTTGAATGTCAGACCAAGGATTCTTGATACTTTTTAAATTAAAACTAAAGGATATGATAGGAGTATCATATAAGAAAATCTAAGTTGGTATTAACCATGCTGGATGAATAATAGATTTGAGCAGAATTTTCCATGTGGCATGGATAAGCCAAGATAATAACTAGATCTAGGATGTGATGCTGGATTTAAGGTATTATTAAATTATCTCACTGATTGGCTTGGTATAGTTCTGGCTGTGGTAAGACCCACTCTGGGTTTGGGTGGCACCAATCCAAAGGATGAACAGGAGAGGCAGGCTGCTGCTTGTTGCTGCTGGTTGTTGCTTCCTGCCTGCCTTGCCATAAACTGATTCTCCTGTGTCATTCTACTGTTTTGAGCCAGCTGACTATGGGCTGAAACCTGTACAAACTGAGCAAAAACAAATCTTTCCTTCTTTAACTTTGAACATTTTGTCTTAGCAATGAGAAAACTAAAACAGTGGCCTTACCTCTTCACACTAGTATTGCATACAAATGTCATTGTAACCATGGGCCCTATATGTGGAAAGATTGGCAAGGACCTGATTAGTGGGAAGGAGAAAGGGTTTGAAGGCTGTTTGTTGAAGGCATACCATACAATGAAAAGAGCTGTTTTTCATCACTATGACAAAATGCCTGAGATAATCATCTTAAAAGGAGATATAATACAATCTCAATTGCATTATTTTTGTTTTTGCAGTGATGGATATTGAACCAAAGGCCCTGTACACACTGGGTAAGGGGATCTATCACTGAGCTTTATCCCCAGCCAGTGCTGCATATTTTTTGTGTATCTTGGCTCATGCTTTGTGGTAAATTGTGTCAATTTAATTAGCTCGGGAACTACCCATGGCAGTGGCAATGAATCTATGGCAACATATCTCAGCAGGCTGTTTATATCATTAAAATCTCTAAAAGATTTGCCATCAGTGGCCTAGGGGATAGTGAATCACACTTCTTGGTATATTTGGGTGGAAAATGGAGACATGGCTTTGGGTACTATATGGGGGTACCTGACTCCTTCCCATCTGACATTGTTCCCCTGCATTGCTTCCCAGCTGTCATAAAATAAACATCTTTGCTCAACCATGCCCTTCTGTCATGTTTTTTTCTGTCTTGGAGCCAGCCAGATTTGGACTGAATCCCTTGAAATATGAGACAAATTAAATCTCTTTGGTTTTTTTTGTTTGTTTGTTTTTCTTTTTAATTGTTGGTGTTGGGTATTGTGTGTTACTGTGGAACTCTGATTAATACAGATTCAGAAGTTTCAGTTTGTGATTGTTTCGTCCTTTTGCCTTTGGACCTGCAGTGAGGCAGTATATCAGCATGAGCCATGCATGTCAGTCCATGTTCCCAATAACCTGTTCCTCCAACCAGGCCCCGTCTCCTAGAGTTTACCTCACTTCCCAACAGTGCTGTCAGTTATGAACCATGTCTTCAACATACAAATTTTTGGGAAACACTTAAGAACGAAACCATAATAAAGTTAAGGCATATTAATAAACTTCAGGAAACCCAGGAACCTTGATTATGTACTCAAATGTTTTGCATCATTTAGGCAATAATAGTAACAATAAAAAGAACATACTAGGTATCTCAGTAAGCATTTTTTATCAGTTTTGTTTGTTTGTTTTAGTTTTGAGGTATACTAATTCTCTTTTTTTAAAGTGTATTTACTCAATTTTATTTGTATATGCTTGTAGTACACATTGACATTTCTTGTGTGGGGTTGCTACATGTATGTAACACATTGGAATTCTTTTTTTCATCCGCTTTCCCTCACCTCCTTCCCCCTCACTCCATCTCTTGATTCCCTTTCCATTTGAGAAAGATCTATCTCACTTCTATTTTGCTCTTTATTTATAATTTGAGTTTATCATGTAAGAGAAACCATGCAATATAAGGTACACTCATTTCCCTAGAGATGATTCAAGTTTGGCTTTTTTTTTTTTAAGACGAAGTCTTGCTATGTAGTCCAGGCAATCTTCCTGCCTCGCCTCCTTAGTGCTGGGATTATAGGCTTGAAGCACCATGCCCAAGTTTATCTTCATTTATGGCAGTTTATATCAATTAATCTAAACATAACTCCATAAGGTACTGTGTTGGATTGGCTATTTCTGTTTGCCACTCTACTTTTCCAAAGACTGATACTTTCCTGAAAGACTGATTTATGTTGCAAGATTCACATTTTGCAAATTGGAAGAATTAATAAGAATCAAAGGATAAGAGAAAATCATCATATGTCTTGTCTTTTTTCAGTACTAGGACTAGAATGTAACAAGCAGAGAGGCTTAGAATGCAAAACAATCATTTTAGCTTGATAATTAAAAAGAATTTAGTGAGAGAAGTAATTAGGAACGGAAAGTAGGATTACAGAAATGAGTGAAGGATAAGAAGAAGGAGGCATTCCTGAACCTTATGACTTCTATTTTCTCAAAGAATTCTGAGACCTAGTAATGAACTAGGACAACATTGTTTTGCAAATTTGACTTGCTTGGTGAGATTTCCTATCAAGGTTTTATTAAAAATATAAACTTCTGATCACTACTTCTGAGAAATCCAGATTCAGTGAGTCCAAAATGGGACCCAAGAATTCAATTATTTTAAAGAATTCGCAGTCTTTCTAATGCATTGCTAATTTGGGGAATGATAGATGTATAGCATTTCATGATATTTTAAAGGAAGACTCATTTCCCTAGAGGAAGACTCAATCAGGTGAGTTGTCCTAAATTGTTTCTGAAGTATGTCTTGATTAATCAAATGAATCTTCATAATATTTTTTAGTTATTTTGTCACAGTAAAGAACCACTGAATACTGCTCCTTTACTCGTATCAACTTTCATATCTGCATAAAATTGAGGAATCCCTTAGAATTTGTTCTGTAATGTGAGTCCATCTGAGATAGTTTTATATATGGTGTCCAATTTCTGCTTGAGTTCAGTTTCACCTTTTCTCCTATGGGTAGTTTTAGCACCATTTACTTAAATGGCCTTTCTCCAGTGATCTATTATGACATCTCTGTCATAATCAAATTTTCATCTGTAGAGCAATTTTATTGCCTCTATTTATTGCCTGTATTCTACTTCACTGGTTATTATCCATCTCTGTTCCAATATCAGTACGTTAATTAACTTCATCAGCTCTAACTTGCAGGGTACTGGTTATCTCTTTGGTTATGATTCATATATAGTGCAACATCCATTTGGTATACTGTGTGTTTGTATGTGTATTTCTATCTGTGAGAGATTGATTCAGGATCTCTTTTGTATATTAAAATTCTTGGATATGCAAATCCCTTATATAAAAATCATATAACCTATATATATCCTCCTGTGTACTTTAAATCAGTGATAGTGAATCTTTCGAAACTTTCGATGATATATACAGCCTACTGCAGCATGTGTGCCATAAGTTTTCCATCACTGCTTTAAACCATCTCTGGATTAGTTATATCTATTACACTGTAACTATTATATAAATACTATATTTTTGAGACAATAATGGTAATGAAGGAGGTTTGTATATATTCAAAATACATGGTTTTTTTCCCTAAGTATTTTCCATAGATATTTATTTGAATCTAAAGTTGTGGAACTCACGGATATAGACGGTCAATTGTATGGTTGTGAGCCACCTAATAACACTATAATAATGACTATCTGCATAGTAGTCCCCAACTTTCTGTATATTTGTTGTCTCTTATCTTTATTTCTCCATTCTGTTGCCCTCCTTCCCCTTGTGAATTTTGAGAGCTATACTGAATGTGGTATATTGACAGCTGAATAGGGGTAAGAAGAAATAAGAAGGGGAAATAAGAAGAAGAAATAGTAGGTGAGGGGACACTTCTTACTGTTCATGAAAAAAGGGGAGAAGTGCATTGATAGCATCACTACTAATCACATAAGTGTATTGATATTGATATCATCATTTGTAAAACTTGGAACAAGAGAGAAATGGGCTCATTAGGGCCAAAGAGAAAAAACAAGGCTCATGAAAAACAAAAGGGAGAGACATGTATTGATTTTATCAGGTGTTAAACATGGAGCAAACAGATTCTCAAGAACCACAAGTGTGTATGGAATTGTTTGTTGTATTCTTTTTTTTTTTTTTTTTTTTGTCTTTTTCCTTTTTATTGGTACCGGGGATCGTGTATTCTTGATTCCTATATTTGCTTGACTTTTGTGGATTTGCATTAAGGAGTGCTTTAATGGTCCTAAGTTTTTTAGATGAACACAAAAGATTTGGCTTGGAACACTAATTTAAAATCATGTCCCAAGAAGAAAAGTGGTAGCAGAACAAGAGCCCATCAAACAGCAGGGGTGTTAAGATACTAGGAGTTTCTCTGAGATGGTTTGACCTGTCCCTACTTGATGTGGCAGGTCAGACTTAGTGCTGCAGGCAGCTTATGGAGTCCCAAGCTGCAGAGTTGGTGTTTGCACACCACTACAGGCCATAATGTTCAGGCAGAAGGACAAAAGATCAGTGGCCCTGCCTCCACATGCTGCAGCATGTCAGAGGTGGTGACTGCTGTGTCCCCTGGAGTGGGGTGATGCCAGAGATGGAGGCCATCCCTGGTGACAAGGTGTAAGCTGTGGCCTAATGTGAAACAATGAAGAGAGCCCTGGGTGCTGGATATTGAATTTTTTTTCTACCCTTGAGGCTGATAAAGGCCTACCCTATACAAGTGCTACCTTCCAAATGTTTTGTAAAACTTTTCATATTTCTCTTATCATAGGAATTCCTAATAACACTCAAGGTCAAGGAATAGTAGAATGTGCTCATCATATGCTCAGAAATCAACTACAAAAACAAAAAGGGGGATCCTTCCCTACAAAATATATAGCCCATAATAGATTTCACTTGGATGTGTATACTATTAATTTTTTAAGTCCTACTAGGGATGGGACTCCAGGAGCAGAAAGATAATTCAGGTTACCAAAAAAAAAAGGGGGGGGGGTCCTTTGGAAAGATCTTCATAGTGAACAATGGAAGGGACCCAGTCCAGTGCTAATTTGGCATTGAGAGTATGCTTATGTCTTTCCAGAGAACTCTAAGTGGCCTGAGTACCAGTGCATGCTGTCTTGCCATCTCATGAACCCATGCCTAAAGAAAGAGTTAATTCCACCTTTCAAGAAACTAATGCTCAGTCCTAGGACAGTGATGGCTCAGATTACAGCTGCTAGAGAAGGATGAGTTTAGATTCAACTTGGGACCAACTGAAGGAATTGACCCAGAATGCCCAGGAGATGGTAACTAAACATGTGAATCAAAGATCTGAGTAGGTGAGTAGAGTGCTTTGAGATAACCAAGGTGAAAGTTACTTGAAAGAAGGGGACACAAAAATTACCAGTATGCTTAAGAAAAAATAAAATATTAAAGTTGTATATCAATTATAGATAAAGATTTTAGTCCTTCCAAATTCTTCTTATAAGAGATCTCTACTAGACTTCCAGGAAAACATGGCGGACAAATAACAGCAGCCACAGAGGCTCTCTGAGATTACCAGTTTAGAATCCAGGAGTAGTGCTGTGTGAGGAGTCCTACGCAAGGGGAGATGTACCCTGCTGACCCGGGAATGAACTAAGCTGAGAGAAACCAACTGGAAATGCAATCCTGATGCTATAACAGGAACAGATAAAATTTCAGTGCGGAAGCTGGATCCCGTGCCATTGGAAGCCACAATTTGAATTTCCTGCTGCCAATATTGCATCCCAATCTGCACGGCAGGGAGAGAGACGCACGAAAGCTCTGAGAGCTGGAATCGGCGAACCAAACAGCATGGAGAGCGGGACTGGCAGGGAGCCCTGCATCGGCCTGCGGTGAGTAAGAGAAATGGGGACCCTTTCATAGACTAGGAGGCTCCAACAGAGGACATGCTGGGAACGAGCAGACTAGCTGGAACAGGGCCCTGCAGTGACTTTAGTCGCATATTCCCCTCTCAAGCGGGAGTGGTGAGGAGCACTTGGCCTGGTGATGCTGCAGACTAAGATTCAGTAGGCTAGCCCAAATCAGGTCCCTGCACCTGGCGGTGCCCCTAGCAGTGAAGCATTCAGTAGGTTGACCTGGAGGGGCGGGCCCAGCAGAGGCTGCCCAGGTCTGTGTCTTCCTAGTACACTGCAGTGGGTGGGAACACCTAGCCAGTGGATTCAAACAAACTGTAACAGACAAAGAGAAAAAAAAAAAAAAAAAAACTGGGCCTCCTACATAACGCTTGTATGGAAGGAACAAAAAGTATGGGAAAAGGGAGAACAAGAAAGGGTCCTCAGTCCCCAATCCTGAGAACACTGATCCAGGAAAGGTAAATGCAAAAGAGAATGAAGACAGAAAACATGCAATATCAGACATGGCAACTATAGGCATAAAGCGGTATCTCCAGAGCCTCATAGATGAGTTCAAAAATGAAATAAAGCAAGAAATAAGTAGAATAGTTAGAGAAATGCTAAGCACCGCCCAAGAAAAAACAAATGGTGGAATGGAAGAACAGAAAAAGAGGGGAGAATTGTTTGATGGAGAAAATAGAGAAAACATAGAATACGTGAAACAGGTTCATAGAGATTACCAAGAAACTAAAAACTCTATTGAAAGTTGGCATAACAGCTTGAAAGAAACTAAGGATATATTATCAGAACTGGAGGACAGATTTGTAAGGTGGGAGCATGAAATGAAAAACTTCTTAAAAATAACAAGAAAACAAACAGCAATAATACAAAGACTAGAAGATGATAAGAGGATCTATAACTTAAGAATTAAGAACATAAAAGAAGAAGTAGGGACTCAACAAATGAACTACAAAAGCTATTCACAGAAATAATCCAGGAGAATTTTCCTAATTTAGCAAAAGGTAAAGATACTCAGATGTAAGAGGCATACAGGACCCCAGCCACCTACAACCCAAACAGAGCTACACCCAGGCATATAATAATCAAAATTCCTGAAATCCAATATAAGAACAGAATATTAAAAGCCATCAGAGACAAGAAACAGATCACTTACAAGGGAACACCCATCAGAATTACAGCAGACTTCTCGGCACAAACCATCAAATCACGAAGAGCGTGGGGGGGAAATAATTCAAGCTTTGAAAGATAATAACCTCCAGCCAAGATTGATGTATCCTACATAACTGTCCCTAGAAATTGATGGAAAAACAAGGTGCTTCCAGGATAAAGAGGAACTAGGGGAATTTGCAACCACCAATTCAACTCTACAGAGAATACTGCAGGATATTCTAAAAATGAAAAATACCAAGATTCCAGAAACAGTGGCAGAATGGCCACAATGAATGGAGCAGAAAGTGAAATGAAGAGGACAAACTGACAACTAATGACAGAAAAAGAGCTCAACAGAAATGAGGCAGAGAAGGTTGGATGGTAGGAACAGCCAATTTGGAGAAAACAAGACATCATAATAGGTAGTGCTGATTTAATATCCTCTTGTTTTGAAGTCCCATCAAGCTTTTGTTCTTCTGTCTCCATCGGTTTTGACGTGTTGTATCTTACTGGATTTTATTATATGTGATAATATAAACAAAAACTTATAGACAAGGAGATTATATAGAAACCATTGTTCATTTTCTGTTAGTTGATTCTAAATACCCTGTAATACTGTCATTCTCTTGAATGGTTTTACATTGTCTTGATATGTTTGATGCTACAGTATACCAAGTTATACCCAAAGATTTTAAGGGAAGAGACACTAGGGTACCTACTATTATGTGGAGATTATCTTGTAGTGAAACACTATTTTGCTTAAATGGCTATGTTTTGACCTACACTGTTTTGTTGTTATGCCTTCTTTTTTATCTCAATCTCCTTTTTTATTATCTACTTTTTCATTTTTATCCTTTTAATTAAGGGAAAAATAAATAAAAAATAGCAGGATATATTATAGTAACCCACTTTGATTTCCTATTAACTTGATTTGAAACTCTGTATTGCTCTCACCATCTTGTTTTGACTGATTTTCCTCTATTCTGTTATGCTAGATAGTACCAAGTTTGAAAGTGTAGGCAACAACTATGAAGACAATAAGATTCATTGTGATGCCCATTCTGGTGGACTATTATCTTCTTTTGAAGTCCTCTAATGTCTCCAATGTTTTGGTTTTATTGGTATTATTCTTTACTGTTTTGTTCAGTTTTATTATAACTGATGATATAGGCAATTCTTTTTAAGATAGCAAGAGGCATTATGGTAACCATTGTTGATCACCTTGTATTTTGTTTTTACATTATGTATTATGTCCATCCTTTTGATTTGACTGACTCTGTCCTGGTATGTCACATTTGGTTTTACTTTCTTCAAAAAAAAAAAAAGTAATAAGAACTGTGGGAGTAATAAAACCCAAAATGTGTAGCACAAAAGAAAGGAAAAGAAAGTTCTCTAAAAGATATAACTGCATATATATTTAAGTGTATAAGATAGATAACCATATTACTGAGTTTTGTTGGGTCATTGAACAAAACTGTTTGCAGTCTCACTGTTTGAAAGTCCCCTCTATATGCTTTAATTTTGTAACTTCAACAACTATTTGGAAGATGACAATGTGTAATTAAGTAGTGATTTCCTACTGTTTATTTTTTCTGAAATTCTGTATAACTTGTACCCTTTTTCGGTTTTTTTTTTCTCCTTAAATAAAATTTTAAAAAAAAGAGATCTCTACTAATCAACTGACAATTCTGACTACTCTATAATTTAAAATTTCTAAATTGTAAGAGAGTTATTATAATTTAATTTGGTCAAAAATATATTCGAGTGTACTCTATACATCTCATTAAAGAACAACAAGTTAGGTAAAAGTTTCTTATGTACGAGATAGAGATGTTTAATTAAAAGGGTTACACCAGGCCAAAACTGAAATTTAAGTTTGTTACAAAATGTTATCATGATTGTCTTGCTGCAATATTATGTATGGCTTTTGATTTCTAATTTTCTGTGTAAAATATGTAACTGTTAACATTCTATAGAGGTTCAAATATTAGAACACCCCCTGGTGTTGTTAGAAAATAATGGTTCTATTTTATGTTTTAAGGTGCTTGATATTTAGATAAGATAGTAATACTAAGCTTACTTCATTCATTAGAATGTAATGTTATTTACCTTCTCGTCATGTAACCTTGGATCTTGTAAGGTCCTTCTTATTTTCATATCACCCTGTATTCATTGGCTAAAGTGATACTGCCTACTGGCTTAGTTTCCCTTTGACCCATGTCTGTACTTCCCCTTAAGTATAGTATAGTAGAACATATCCATCATGCACATGTCATCTTTTCCTAAGCACCCCACACATATGATCTGTGTACCTTTTGGTGGCTCTGCCTCCCTGTCTCTTCGTTTCTTCAGCAATTAGCTAGAGTTGAATTGCAGCATAGACAGAATAAGAAGTAATGCCCCTACATGGCAGATCCAACAGTTCTAGGTGATTGATAGATAATGGTACTATGTGGAATCTCTGGCAGATTGTTAAAAGGAAATTACTATTCAAGCTGCTAAGGGCTTAGAGTAAGGTAAGCTTTCTACAACCAAACCATATGAAAGTAGCTACAGGCATGATACTGAACCCTGGTAAAAACTGAATACTGATTATGGAACACCAAACAACTGTATAACCAGGATTGCCTTTTGTAAGTTTTGGTTCTCATAGCAATAATTCACTAAATGATAGAAATGGTATAGATGGAAGCACATCTAAGCAAGTGCAGAGGTCATGATAAGTTTTATGAACAAGGAGCCCAGAGCTATCTGGTATTTCTTTATTTACATTTGTGTCTTCTGATACCAGGTGTTCTTTATTATCAAGTGGTGATATTGGAGGAAAATACTACACTCTTTCAAGCTTGGTATGCTTCTAGAGTGGCAAATTGATAACAGTTTTACTTCTCTCCCACTTTGAGAAATGCCATAAAGACAGTAGTGAAAAAATTTCTCCTGCTTAGCAGGCAGAACTGTAAGACATATTTAGTAATCTTTGAGTGAAGAGAGTAGCTGAGATACAGAGATATATAAGATAATTGTTTGATTAATTGATTCAAAGATAAAATATTTGAAGTTCAATAATAAAAATATTTGAGGAAAAAGCATATGGAGGAGCCTCTAGAAGCTGGCACAAAGAATATGCATGTCCCATCTCTGCATCCACCAGTGAGCATTCACTGCAGAAAAGCACCTATGTGGATAGTGTTGCAGATTATATTTTTTGAGTGGGTGACCAGTCGTATCACCCACTCACATACTTTTCTTATGATATGATCCAAACAGTCTTTCAATCAAGTGGTGAGTCCTATGTTCCCTTTTTCTAAAACCCAGGCAAACTTTTATCATTTCGACCAACAGAAGATGACAGACTTAATCTGTGACTTCTGAGGCTCAATTTTTAATATTCTTCATTTTTCCAGCTTGTCCCCTGGGATACCCACTTAGGAGCCAGTTGTTATGCAGTAAGGAGCCCCAAATAACCCACACAGAGAAACAACGTGGAAAGAACAGAGGTAGATATTCTAGTTTACAGGTTAGCTGAGTCCCTGGTGACAGGTGACTTCCACTGTCAACTATAAAGATACCTTCAGATGATTCCAGGCACCAGCTGGATTGATTGATCCCAAAATACGGTCTCAGACATAGAGCAGAGACAAGCTATCTCCTCTATGTCTTCTGTGAATTGCTGACCCACAGAATTCAAGAGAAAAACAAAACATAAGAAACATGGCTGAAACATCTTTGTTGAACTACTATCTCTTTTCTGGACACAAAAGGGAGACACTGTTCCTTGGGGGACTTTGAAGTTGCTGAAACCATGCTCATTTCTCCACTTGGTCCCTGCCTAAAATGGCAATAATTTTTTCTTTTCTCCCTACAAGACATGGTCAGATTATGTGACTGGATTAAAATTTAATTTGTTTTTCTAATATCTGGAGTATGTATGGGCTCCATAAACAGCTCCTCATTTAAAAAAAGGAAAAACATGGTCTGTGACTTCTCTTTTGGAAATAGAAGACTGACATCGCATATTTGAAGTTGAAGACAAAAAACTAGTGATTTGAGTTTGCAATTTGGAGGTTACTGGGAGGCGACAGGGTATTTGTCTCCAGCAACAGGTCTTAAGGTCCCTAGAAGGTAATACTGGAGTTGAGACAGCGTGACAGTTTCTATGCTCTGCATAAACTCTTCTGGGAGAGATTTGGACTTGGTGTTTCTAGACCAGCAGAATGATGCTGTCTAGAATCCCTAACCCATTTTGTGATCACTGTGGAGAACATGGTGGTAAAGAGTCTGGAAATCATTTCCAATTACCTCCTATGTCACAGATTATTTTTATCAAATAATTCTCCCCTTAGAATTTTTGTAAACTTTAAAACTGTATTTAAAATTTACTGTCTTAACCATTTTTAAGTGTATATTTCAAAGACATTAATTCCATTTATATTGCTTTGTTAGCATCACTATCAACCCTCTCCAGAACACCATCTTGCAAAACTACCTATGGCACAGAGCTCCTCATTTCCTTCCTCCCTGGCATCTCTAGCAATTATCATTCTACTTTCTGTTTCTATGAACTCATATAACTTCAGGCAAGTTTAGTCATGTAGTATTTGTCCTTTTGAGACTGAATTTTTTCACTTATAATGTCCTCAAAATTCATTTAAGTTGCAGTGCATGTGCAAATTTTCTTACTTTTAAAGGCTGAATAATATTGGATTATATGTATGTTTTATTGGTACAGTCATCAATTGATGAAACTGTGGGCTGCTTCTACTTCTTAGATATTGTGAATAATGTTGTAATATGAATGTGTAAATACCTGTTTAAGTCCCTACTTTCAATTTTAGGGGTGCCCAGAAGTTGAATTGATAGGTCTTAGAGTGATTATATTTTTAATTTTTTGAGCAGTCACCATGGTGTTTTTCATAGTGACTTAATTTTATAGGATGTCACAGTTCCCTACATCTTGCCAATAATTTGTCTAATTTGCTTGTTTTAATAATGGCTACCCTAGTGAATATGAAGTGATTCCTTTAGTTATTTTTTAACTTATATATTGATTTGTTTTTAAAATTTATTTATTGGTCCACTTTTGATGTATATAAAGGTCATATTCATCATATGGAATGTACTCTACGTACTATTTCTTGATTCTTCTTTTTTCCCCCTACCAACCCTTCTTTCCCTCATTATTTGAAAAAGCTGTTCCCATTTTTCCTTCTATTCTTTTTTTCTTTTCCTCGCCTTCCTCCTTCCTCCCCTATTCTCCTTCCCATTTGAACATATTTTTCCTACTTCCCAATGTCTATCATCCATGCTGGTCCTTATTTGTACTTTCTGTTTCTCACACAAAAGAAACATTGAAGTATTTAAACATGTGTGTAAAATTTATTTTACTTATTTATAAGTATGGTGTTAAGGTGTATTTACTTACCTATAAATGTCTCAAGTTTATCCTTTATGTCAGAGTAGTACTACATTGTACCATAAAAACCACATCATTTTTATCCATTAATCTGTGAATGGGATATGGACTATTTCCAAAATTTAGCTATTACAAATTGTGCTGCTATAAACATGAGTATGCATAAAGAATGTAAATATTTGCAAATATGTCCTGAAGGAGAATCTTTTCTCCTTTACCATTGGGCTGAAGTTGCTGAATTCCAAACACAAGGCCTTATTTGATTGGTTGAATTACAACCTCAAAATGTATTTGAAGTGAAAGTGAGGGCACTTCATACTGGAAGTGAATGAGATACTGTAAATTGGAATAGAGATATTTAGGAGGAACCTGAGAAGCTTAATCAAATTATTTTGCCAAAGAAAGAAATTTCCCCACCTCTAGTAGCAGAGGCATTCCCATTCCCAGCCACTGTGTTACTGATGTTGGTCTCTCTTATGCCAGAAAAACTAATCTTGTGTTGCCTGTGGAAAATAATAATGTGATTACCAAGTGAGGCAGTGCTAACACTCCTTAGGATCTACTCTTACCACACATTTTTGCCCATAGGCCTATAACCAGGCTCACATCTCAGATATTTCCTAAAGATTAGGTGCACAGTGTGAACCATGAAGAGTTCTAATATACTACCAAAGAACTTCTTCGTTTTTCTATTTCTTATAATCAGAGGTGTGAGGGACAAGCAAAGGAATGGATTTAAGAGTGGAGGGTAATTGTGGAAGAAACATAAACCTGGATCAGGCTGACTTTCTCCCTTAAATGTCTGATCATTTCCTTTTCCTGAAGGTACAGTTACCCTGCTAAATGGCCTGAGATTCTGTTGGGAAAGATGGAATAAAGAATGACAGTATAACTTTTTGGTAGTGCCTCAGGATCCTTTGTCAAGGAGAACTAGCCTACCCTTGAATCAAAGGATTCTGCATCTGTAAAGCAGGTTGAGAGGTCATGATTCTCTGTTGCTATGATTTGAGGTGGATTTTTGTTCATTTTCCCTAAAATTATTTGCTTTATATAAATCCAGTAAAAATTTAGTATATTACCTCTCTATTTCATTTTTGGGAACACCATGACTAATCAGCCAACAGCATAGGTCTACATGTGTCAGATCATTCCATTTATTGCTTTGCTTCTGTTCATTATAGTATGTCTACCTTGTCTTTGGCAATTCACCACTGCAGCTTGGTCCCTGTCACTCTAGGATTCTATTAAACCCATCAGATTTAAGCT